ACTTTGACGTAACAACGACGAAATGTCTTGACGTATGGCCTCAAAACCTTCCTTATCAATATTGTTCTTAAACAGATAATACGCAACACTACAAATAATTTCTTCGAACGGCATTTCTTACGGTGTTAAAGCAAAGTGCAAGCCTTTCGACAAAAATTTTATTGTAGGTTTGTCCAGTGTTGATTTTGACAGATTATAGACCGTGCGTTGTTTATTGTTTACGTCTGTAGTCAACGTTTACGTTTCGATTCTACGTTGACATTGATGTTTGGAATTTGATTTGATTGTTAATTTTTGGTATTTTTGTAACTCCTCTCCCTGGACATCCAAAAGTCTAGTGGGCCTGACGGAATCCCTCCAATTGTGCTGAGGACGTGTACTTCAGAACTGGCACCGGTTCTAACGCATCTTTTCCGGTACTCCTACTACCTAGCCGTAGTCACGAAATCATGGAAGACAGCTTTTATCCACCCGATTCCTAAAAAAGGCGATCACTTGGACGTGTCTACTACAGGCCTATCGCCATCACCTCCTTGTTCTCCAAAATAGTGAAATCCAATATAAACTGCCAGCTCATGCGGTACCTTGAGGATCACCAACTGATAAGTGACCATCAATACGATTTTCTTCGGGGTCGATCAGCTGGTGATCTTCTGATCTACCTGAATCATAGATGGGAGGAGGCTTTAGAGTCCGAGGGGAAGCATTGGCCGGTTTGGATATTGCGAAGGCCTTATATCGGGTTTGGCAAAAAGCGCTTCTTTCGAAGCTCCCTTCCTATGAGCTTCCCGAGAAATTGTACAATTGGATCACCAGCTTTCTTGCAGATCGGGGCATCAAGGTCGTTGTAGACGGTGCATGCTCTGACTACAAGCCTATTAATACTGATGTTCCAAGAGGCTGCGTGCTATCACCAACGCTGCTTCTTCTGCATATCAATGATATGTTGCTCATTGTCCTGCGGATGACAGCACTGGTGATGCCCTATACACCAACCGTGCCAATATTTCTCGGAAAAACATCACCGTGTACCGGAACAAACTTGTGTCTGAAGTCGAGTCTTTGCTGAAAAATGTCTCGTATTGGGAGCGACTAAATCTAGTCCAGTTTAATCTTTAAAAGACACAAGTTTTCGAGTTTACCGGTAAAAAGAACCCCTTTGTCGTATCTCCTCAGCTTCTAGGCACTCCCCTTGTTGCCAAAGCCAGTATTGCAATCCTCGCGTCAATATATCTAGTGACGTGCAGTTTCGTGGTCATTTGGAACAGAAAGCCAAATTGGCTTTTAAAAAGCTTGGCGTGCGCAGCAGAGCGGGACAGTATTTCATGCCGACACAACGCCTGCAAATTTACAAGGCGCAGGTTCGGCCTCACATGGAATACTGTTCTCACATCTGGGCTGGGACTCCCCAGTGCCAGTTCCTTCCACTTGACCGCATCCAGCGCAGAGCAGCTCGAATCGTTTGAAATTGTAATCAAAGCCGCCAAATTTTACGAACGCACATCGAAGCAGAACTCTCGATACCATCCACAACATCTGAATGATTGGCGGTCTACTACTGTGCGATTTAGAAAATGTTTTCTTCCTCGTACAACTTCCTTGTGGAATCGATTACCATCAGCGACTTTTCCGGACCGATACGACTTAGGGACCTTCAATAAAAGAACCTACACCTTTTTAAAAGTCCGGCAATGCATCTGCAATTCCCCTGGTTCTTCTGGTGTTGCAGTCTTTCATGGAAGGCGGTAGTCACTTACCATCAGGCGAGTAGCATGCTCGTTTGCCCCCTCTCCTATAAAAACAAGAGTTGCTATGCAGGTCTAGAGAGACCAGTATCAATGCGACCTTAAAGACCTATTGCGATCGCTGCTATGTCTATGGCTCACTACGTCCTCAATGAATAGAAGGGATTGCTTGCTTAGCTGTGAGTCAGTTCACTTCTTCTGGGCGAAGTGTGTAGTTTCCTCCTTCTTCATTTAATCTTGCATTGAAATCAAATAGACATAATCAATATTAGTTCGAAATCACAAATTACTTTTTGTTTGAGTTTATTCTTATTGCTTAGGATACTAGGTACGTACATTGTGGAACGAGGTAGAATCACACTGTAGCTTGTTATGGTTGCAGCATGATTGAGTTGGCTCAACCGGGAAAGTTCCACACATTAACAGAATACCAGCTTAAAATAGCAGTGTAATGCAGCATTGCACTGCTATTTTAAGCTGGTATTCCGTATGGTGAGTGTAGAGAACTGGTCAGCTTTCTTACTTGTAACGAGGCATTCTGTCTTAATTCTCAGTAGTGACAATGCACCCGATTTGATTTTGAATCGAAGCCTTTGACCGACTTCGGTTATATTATATTTAAACATTACATTGGAAGCGTTCAAACGAGATATTGAATTATGACCTAGTATAGTTCCTACTCACTGAATCACATCTCATTACACCATTAGCACATTATTAAACTATAAGCGGATAGAACGTACTTATATTTACTACTAGTGCGACAAACGGCTTAACGGCTTTAGTAGGTTCTAAAGGCTGTGCTAAGACAAAAAATATTGCAGTAATTTCAAAAGCTATTGAACTATGTGAAATTCATTTTATTCCTTATATTTTTATGAAGTTTGATAATTTTGAGTGTACTAAATAATGATACAAGATAAATATGTCAAATTAAACGTCATATAATATTTAGTTAAAAAGTTCAACCCCTATTTTACCCTTAGGGATGAAATTTTTATTTAAATTTAAATAGAATCACCCACGATATACTCTAGTCAATAAAAAAAATCATTGAAAACCGTTCACAATCAGCGATGATATCTTGTAACACGTTACTTAAATATGTATGCGAAACAGTTATTAAAATAATTTACGTCAATCCACGTCATGTTAGTATAACATGATTTTGTGTTACATTGCTAATGATGTCGTTAACGCATGAATAATTTTGTGAGATAATTACGCCACAAACAATTATCAGAAAGCTTTGCTCACGATATTTTGTTTCTATTAGCTTTTTTTTATAGGATAAGGGTGACAAACGAGCACACAGTCCACCTGATGGTAAGTGGTTGCTGTGGCCCATAGACATCTAGACCTATCTTCGATTACGAATGAGAATGCAGATACGTTGTCACCCGTGAGAACTAAGATGGAATGCCTCGTTTCCAGTAAAAAAAAATTCCGGTTCTCTACACTCACCATACGAAACACAGCAGCATTAAGTTGCTATTTGACGCTGGTATTCTGTGAGAGCGTGGTCCTTCCCTGGTCGAGCCGACCCATTCGTGCTACAACTATACTACTAATATAGCTGCAGCATGGCTCTACCATGTAGAGCACCTATAGCAGAATAATCTCCTCAGTGGACGTCAGTACGTTTTTCGCACGTCAGTACGTTTTTGTTTCACTGCACTTTTGAATATCCTGGATCTTGGGGCAAAAATATCCATGCCGGAGCTTTTCATGGATATCTCGTTGAAAAGTCGACACATTCTTATTACCGGGTTATAAAAGGAAGTATTTTTCTTATAAGTCTGCAGGTCTTGCTAGGAATTCGGTGATTGCGCTTTGTAGTTAAGTTTAATTTACTTAAGAGATAATCGAAATCAATCCTTAATAATTATAAACATATAATAACATTTATGTAATAACATTTATGTTATTATATGTTTTTCAGGAAAGTGTGAAATAAACAGTAAAATAATAGGATTTGTGGCATTTTGTTGAGTTGTTGTGAGAATATAAATGGTATGACGGATTAGTACACAGAGTCCCTACATTTCTGGAATTAAATGAGTACTATTGATAGACCGAGAGCTTGAAAGTGTATTCTGCGTTTCAAATGTTTTCTATTTCAGGCACTGTCAAAGCGCCTCTTAAAATTAAATAGCAAAAGAGTGTAGGCGCTTCGAATTGCAATTCATTGAAGACAGTACAATATCCGACAATAAAATAATCTCTCCCTTGTAGCGTGGCATACTAGCAGTAACATCTTGTAAAAGTAAAATATTAAAATAATTAGTTTATTTCATCTTTTATTTGCCACCAAATGTTAACTAAAGACATAAATTGGTGGCCCATGAGGGAAATAAATAGAAATTAAAAAATTTCAAGAAATAATAAAATTTTCATCAAAAACGTCGTCAGCTAAAGACGGCTTATCGTGACTGGAACATTGAAGGAAGAAGATTTTGAAGTATAAGGTGCAAATGGATGGCTAATTAAAATGAAAGAGGATACAACGAGCAGTGGCGCATCTAAAGCATCATATCGTGTAGTTTTCTGCAAATTCAACAAGAGATAAGTGCCTTTTCTTTGTCCTCGAACATCATTACTTCCTATGAAATTCATCCAAATTTACCTTAGCCCTAAAAGGAATTTGTATAAATCGCCTAAATATCCTATTATTATTAGGTTTATTTGACATTAAAAGTCCAGTTTTGCCAAATTTTACAAATTTCTAGAACATTTTAAATATTTAACTACCCACTTTAAAAAAAAATCTTTAAATTTTAATATTATGTCAACGTTTTGAGCGATTCTATATATTAATATGTTAGTTTGCTTACAAAATTTGGGAATATGAATTACACATTTTAAAAATCTGTAACAAATTACAAAAGCCTTGTTTTGAAGCTCCTCCATAAAATTATTACGTATTGTTTTACATTACATTTTGTTTCTTTAAATAATTGTTATGTCGTTAGTTTAAATTGTATTTATGTTATTTTTAGATATTTTATATGGTTTACGTAAATGATATTTAGGTTTCAAAAGAACATAGTTTACAAGTTGTTTATTATTTTGGCCGACTATTTCAGGTTGCCAGTCGGTTCACTAAGCTGAGCTGCCATAAGTAGCAGCAGTATCGGTAATATCTGCTTCCTGAAGTTTCATCGGAAAGAGGAGCGTGAGGTAAAATTATTTTTATATTTATTTTTTAACACCAATTAACTTATTTTTTATTCAAAGCTTTCAATTTACTTCACAATGCCTGACCAAATTGTATCAGATAAACAGCGCTTAAAAGATTTTTTGTCCAAACGTATCTCCATTAAAGGGCAGATAACTAAATTCAAAAATTACGTACATACCTTAAAAGATGAACCTGAGCTGCATAAATTGCAAATTGATGAATTAACACTAAAATTAGCAAAATTTGAAGCATTGTTAGTTAAGTTCGATGATCTGCAAAGTAAAATCGAGGTTCTTGACTCAGATAATGTGAGTGAGGAAATTGATGAAAGATATTTAATAGAACAAGACACTATTTCGAACATTGCAATAGCTAAGGCCATATTAGAGTTTCACAAAAAAGAGCGCAACAATTGTTCAAACCATGATCATTACGAGCATCAAGAAATAGGTTTGAAATTACCTCAGATAGAAATAGCTAAATTTGACGGTGCATATTTCCGCTGGCTAGAATTTCGGGATACTTTTGAAAATTTAATTCACAACAATGATAAACTCTTACCTATTAGTAAATTTCATTATCTTATTTCTTATTTACAAAGCGATACAGCACGCATAATTTCAAACCTAGAAGTGTCCTCCGCAAACTACGCTGATGCCTGGAAGTTGCTTTACAGCCGTTATAACAATAAACGCATTTTAGTAAACCATCACCTCAACTCATTATTTAGTATTAAGCTACTTCCACGTGAATCAGAAAGGTCTTTGCAATTTTTAGTCGATCATGTAATAAAAAATTTACGCGCTTTAGCCAGCCTTGGTCAACCAACAGACATTGTCTTGTCATTTTTATGTTATCAGCAAAATTGGACAATATTACAATAATGAAATGGGAAGAACACCGAAATAATTTAGTAGGTGATATGCCAACTGTGAATCAATTTTCAAAGTTTTTAATGGATCGTGCGGACGTTCTTGAGGCTTTGAATCGTAATAACAATAGACTTGATAGTAATTCAGTAAAAAAATGTTGCGTTAGCCTCGAAAAACTATCGGGTACAAAATAGCCAAAATAGAGGACATAACAATTCATTCTCAAAATCATTCGCTAGTACAAATAAAGCAGTTGGTAAAGCCAACACATCATTTTTGTGCGTTATTTGTAATGAAAACCATAGAATTTATGACTGTGCTTTATTTTAATCTAAAGGAGTCGATGAGAAATTGCAAGAAATAAAAAAAATATAAATTATGTATGAATTGTTTGCGCAAGGTCACCCTGTGAGTGAATGTCGCATGGTGCCATGTCATGTGTGCAAAAAACGGCACAATAGCTGTTCAATTAGGGAACATGAATAAAATAGGCGACTCACACGATAGGCAAATTGTATATTTAAAAGGAATGAAAAATACAAAATATTTGGTGGCGATCGGGTCGCGAGCTATCGGCGAGTGCCGGTCTTAGGCGTGGTGGTGAGAAACCCCCCGCACTTCACATACTCCCCGCAAACACCGTCGGTGCTGTCGTAACGGCGCCGACATACTCCCGGCGCTGGAAAGCTTAACAGCTTTCAAGATCTTCCAACTCATCGGGCTTCGGTAGTAGGACGATTCTGTTTAGGGCGCGCCGCACAATTCCTCTTGCAGTGTCTATATCTGCGACGCGTGTCAATCCGTCAGTTCCCGGGAAGAGTTTTCTTTCACGTCCGAGACGCCAATAGAGCGGTGGAGCGTTTTCCTCTTTCAAGAGGACTAGGTCGTCAATTTGTAGGCTCTCTTTGGACTTCGTGCGCCACTTCGTCCTCAACTGCAGCTCCGCAATGTACTCGTGGCTCCAGCGTCGCCAAAAGTGTTGCTTAAACTGCTCGATGTGCTGGAATCTGTCGAGACGATTGGCATTAGCGGATTGTAGACACGGAGATGGCAGCGAGCTTAGTGGTCTACCAATTAAAAAGTGGCCCGGAGTTAAGGGATAATAGTCCGTGGGAGAGGAACTTAATGGACATAGGGGGCGGCTATTTAGGATACATTCTATTTGTGTGAACAAAGATGACAATTCCTCATAGGTTAGGTGCGTAGTCCCTTATATCCTAGCCAGGTGGAATTTGGCTGACTTTACACCGGCCTCCATCAAACCATTGAAGTGAGGAGCGTATGCAGGCGAAAAACAAAATTCAACGCCTTCGTTGGCGGCAAAATTAGCGATAGTTTTGGCATTAACTTCAAAAAACTCTTTAAGTTCCTTTGAAGCAGCTACAAAGTTTCCACCATTGTCGCAGAATATCTGCTTTGGTAGCCCTCTCCGTGAAACAAAGCGTCTCAAAGTTAATATAAAAGCATCCTTGGACAGCTCACTAACAGCCTCCAAATGGATGCACTTATACCTAAAACATATGAAAATACACAAATAACATTTTGTAATTTTACAACCACGACCTTTGCGATCCGTGACCATAAATGGCCCAGCGAAATCAGTCCCTACTGTAATAAAAGGAAAGTCGGGCATTAGTCTTTGAGCAGGTAGGTTGCCCATCATGTTTTTCATAGACTGACCTTTAAAACGCCTACATACGGTGCAATTATGCACAGTACGTCTAGCCAGACTTCTTCCACTAATGGGCCAAAAACGCGTTCTAATAGAAGCCAGTAAGGCTTGGGGCCCCAGATGTAGAAGCCGTACGTGTTCTTGTTGGAATAAAAGTTGAGTAAAATGGTGTTTAGAGCTTAACAACATGGGATGCTTCATATCGAAACTATATTCAGAAGCCTGAATTCGACCACCTACTCTTATCACTCCTTCATGTAAAAATGGATTAAGTGCCGAAATGTGCAACTTAGGACTTAGGGAATTTCCTTTTAATAATAAGTCGTATTCTTTAGGGAATGCCTCTAATTGGGAAATATATACTAATGAATTAAGAGTTTTATTGAGCTCGGCGGTGGTTAAGGAACCTGTAATTTTAGTTTTAGAATTTTTACAGTTATTAATAAATCTATGTACATAGGCTAAAACGTGTTGTAATTGTTTTAATTTAGAATATTTGTTAAAGTTAATAATTGATTGATAATTATCACAAATAGCAACTGGATGTGCTTTAACTTCCGGCAAATTCTTCATCTCAATAATAGTCTGCGACTGCATAGAAGGCCACTCGGACTCTGGCAACGATAAAAACTTAGGTCCATACCACCACATATCACATGCAGCGATCTGTTGTGGGTTCACGCCACGGGATAGCAGGTCAGCTAGGTTGTGTTCTGTAGGAACGTGGTGCCATGAATTTGCGTCAGTCAGCTCTCTAATGGCGGCGACTCTGTTGGCAACGAATGCTTTCAAGTTAGAAGAACCGCAGCGCAACCAACTAAGAACTACGCTCGAGTCAGTCCAATAGACATGACGCGATATTTTACGTCGCAAGGCTGGTCACAGATGAGCTCATTTCAGCTGCCAGAAGAGCACCTGAAAGCTCCAAACGAGGAATTGTAATAGGGCTGGATGCTGAGGCAACGCGAGATTTCGCACATAAAAGTTGGACATGTATTTGTCCTTCTTTATTTGTAGAGCGAAGGTACAAGCATGCACCATAGGCGCGTTGCGATGCATCGCAAAAACAGTGGATTTCAGCAGAGACTGGATATTCTATTGATACCCATCTAGGTATAATTAGTGAAAAAAGGCATTTAAGTCCATCAACAAAAGGTCTCCAGACATCGACAATATCCTTTGGAGCGGGCTCATCCCAGTCCAATTTGAGAGACCATAAGGTCTGAATTAAAATTTTGGGAACGATAGTGGACAAGGATAGGAGGCCCAAGGGATCGAAGATCTTGAAAGTTGAAGAAAGTATAGTGCGCTTGGTGACGACGTCAGACTGATCCACTGTAATGGGAAAATTAATGCTGTCGGTCGAAGGACTCCAATCTAGGCCCAGCGTATTTGTAGACTGACTCAATGTCAGGTTGCCGGATGACTGGTCAACGTCTGAAGGCAGTAAAGAAGGTAAGTTGGATCGGTACTTACGCAAGTCAAAACCAGCCATAGAAAGAGCCACATGTGTTGATTTCTGTATAGACCGTAATTGATCTTCATCATCGCTAGAAGTTAGTAAGTCATCAACATATATGTCCTCCTGTATGACTGCCTTAATAACGTCATCGTCACACTCCTCGCCCACTTGCCAGAGACACCTGGTGGCAAGGAAACTAGCGCTAGCAAATCCGTAGGTGACCGTGTTAAGCCTGAGTGTTTGTAATGGTTTGTCCTCCGCATCACGCCATAAAATCAGCTGTAGGTTTCGGTCAGACTCATCTATTAAAACCTGCCGGTACATTTATTCAATATCCGCTGACAACACATAACGATATTGCCGGAACCGGATGAGGATATTGAAAAGAGAGTCTTGAACTGTAGGGCCTATCATTTGAATGTCGTTTATAGACAAACCAGATGAAGTGCGAGCTGATGCGTCAAAAACGACGCGTAGACGTGTTGACTCACTGTCTTCACGAATGACAGGATGATGCGGAACAAAATAGGCAAGCTCAGGTCGGTCTACCTCAGATATTGCTAGATGTCCTAGTTTGCGATACTCCTCAATGAAATCAACATAGGCGGACTTAAGTTCCGGTTGCTTGCGAAAGCGACGTTCCAGGTTTATAAATCGCCGCCTGGCTATGAAATAGGAAGTGCCTAGGCAGTCTGGTTTGTCGATCAATGGCAGCTTGACACAAAAACGACCTTCTTCAGTGCGTTTTGTGTGCTGTAAAAATGTTGTTCGCAAGCTTTCTCTTGGTCTGTAAGAAGGGGCCTTTGCGGCAAGCTTTCAAGCTCCCAAAACCTCTTCAAATCATTGTGAAGCTCAACTAAAGTATTGTTGCTTTCAATACTTACAAAATTACATTTCACTGGGGAATTTAAATTGAGATTGTCATTTTGAATATAGTGCATGGGACCTGCGATAAGCCATCCTAATTTAGACTCATGTAGAATAGGATTTCCTTTGCCTAAAGAGTGCTGTTTGGTTCCAATAATGGACCAAAATAGGTCAGCACCGATGAGCAGTCCTATGTCAGACGGCTCATAAAAGCTGGGGTCTGCTAATGCAAAGGACTTCAGGTTAAGGTGTGTAATAGACACAAGAGACTTAGGTATCTTACCTGATATTTGGGGTATGACTAAACATGACGTCATAACGCTGAAAGAACCTACCTTTGAATGAATTCGAACATTGCAACGTTCAGCATTAAGCTTGACAATAGTGTTACATATGCCGACCACATTCCTAACATCAGACGTGGAAGAAGTTAAATTTAACTTTGATTTAAGTGATTCTGTAATAAAGCTAGACTGACTACCGTTGTCTAAGAGAGCTTTAGTGGTAATGTAATTGATTGTTTTGGGATTAAAAATATCAACCAAAGCCGTACATAGTAGTGTCTCAGAAGCAGAAACAGCTGACATTGAAACTGGCTCAGAGACTGCAACATTAGTGACTGCCACATTGGTATCAGAATCCGTAGGTTTGTGTAAAAAGGTATTGTGACGTTTTTTGCATATCTTGCACGTACCTGGAAGCTTGCATGCGCGCGTATTATGCCCTTTGCGCAAACAGTTGGGACACAACTTTAGCTCGGACACTAATGAAAGTCTACCATCAATAGATTTCGATTGAAATTGTGAGCACTCATAATTACGATGACCTTGACCACAGAAAATACACTTGTGAGGGGCAGTTGCTGATGAGTCGCCCTGCTCAGCGCTAACGAATGACTTAGTATGAGAAACGGGATTTTGTTTGACGCCTTGATTGTGATTTGGGTTTGACTTTATATTTTTGTCTTGTTTACTGCGATAAACAGACTCTAAAACTTCAGCGCGGCCCTTA